TGTGTGTGTGTGTGTGTGTGTGTGTGTGTGTGTGTGTGTGTGTGTTCTGGTCTGTTTGCTTATAAGATCTCGCGCAAACCTGCAGGTATGTGTGGGAGAAGAGCGGCTCGGTGATTGACGTGAACACGTCGCCCCGCCTGCGTCTGGATCCTGACGGGACTCTGCACATCTCCCAGACGTGGTCGGGTGACATTGGAACATATACCTGCAGGGTAACATCCGTGGGTGGCAACGACTCCCGCAGCGCCCACCTCCGAGTCAGGTCTGCACATTTCACTTACGCTCCCACCTGTCTTATCTTGACATCTGTATTTTTCTCTCTCTCTCTCTCCCTTTCACATTTCAGTGTGCGAGAGTGTGATAGATGGCTGTTTTCTCCACTGCTGTGGGTTTATGACTGCTCTCCTCTCTAATCGATCAAACACCTCTAATATTTACAATGCGAGGCTCTCAGTTTGTCTGTTTAATTTGGTCGTTTGGCGCCTCTCTAGTCTGGATTGTTTGTTCCCCGCTCTCATGCAAACACTCGCATGCACTTACAGGCAACTGCCACATGCTCCAGAGAACCCGGTGGCTGTTCTGAGCAACACGGAGAAGAGGGGCATCAACCTCACATGGGCCCAGGCCTTCGACGGCAACAGCCCCCTGATCCGTTACCTCCTGGAGGTCTCAGAAAACAGTGAGTTATTCACAATCACCAGCAACGAAACGTGTTTTCTTCTTGTCTGATAGTAATTTCAAAACCATCCTTTTTGTTTGTTTTTTACTCCACCGATGCACTAATTTGCCTCTGCCTTTATTATATTACGTCTATATTGTTTCCCTTAAATTGGCAGTTGCATCCTTTCATGTCTTCTGCAATCAGTCTAACTGAATTGCCTCGCTTGTGTGCTTCCTTATGAATGATCAGGGGAACCGAATTGAGTTCACGTCCGATGCTCTTATCTTCTTCAGCAGATAAAATCAAAGAAGTTGGAATGTTTTCTCCCGCAGAGKGTAAATTGTTCAACAATTTCTCATTTAAGCCTAGGCTAACGGAGAAAATGACAACTCATTAGGAGGAAAATGAATCTGAGGATGCAGATGGGATCTGGGTTTTAGATAATTGAATTGCGATCTGATATTRAGAGGGAGCGCGTGCCCAGTAAATGACTTGTTTCTGTCGGTGTAGCTGCAGCCTTATTACGGAAAATGAACCAATGCTGTGCAATAATCGTAGGAAACGGCGCTGAATTTAAATGTGAGCTGGTGGGGGGAGATTTTCACCAAACTGCTCCCTGTGTCTCCTGTCTTAGACGCCCCTTGGACGGTGCTGCTGGCGAACATCGAGCCCGAGTCCACCGGGGTGGTCGTGGGTGGCCTCATCCCGGCACGTTCCTATCAGTTCCGCCTGTGTGCCGTCAACGATGTGGGCAGAGGCCAGTTCAGCAAGGAGACCGATCGGTGGGTGGTGTTTTGTCTCGTTTTAGGCTGCTGTTTGTTAAAAAAAATATATTTGTAACCTAATGTAGCCASAAGAAAAAGCCTCGCACTTAGAGGGTTTTTTTTTATTGCTCTGGAACAAGACGTTCCCCCGGTCTCATCTTGGCAGTTCAATAGAAAATCCTATAAGACTGCTTTTTAGTTTTCACTCCTGCTTGTTGAGGAGATGAGCCAGCTTCGGAAAGGGACCTTTTTTTTTCCCCCAAGATAAAAAATGTGAATGAGCTGAAATTGCGCTTTGTGAAGACACGATGGGTGCGCTGACCCAGCTTCGTCTCTGTCCTTCACGTTAACCACCATCGCCGTACTTCATGAGTAAAAACACACAGAGGCTTTAAGCGGATGAGCTCAACACAGAGTCATATCTCCACTGAATTAACTTCAAGAGGAAAATCAAACAGATGCATTCATAAAAGTTGAACCCAAACACATTTTACGGTCGTTGCGATCCACTTACACACACAACTGATCGTCTATGTCAACATTTGCTTTTCTGTTTCTTTCCATCTTTTTTTTTTTTCTTGTACACCTGCAGCAAAAAAAGAAAAAGAAGTGAAAAGCAACCATGACCATTCATGGAGCTTTTCCACCACAAATTCATTCACTGAACTGTTGTGCGAATCTGCCCAAACCAGAGTGCACCGTAGGAGGTGCGTCAATGAGAGCAAGACTCTTTTCTGAGGCATCTCCCTGGCACACCTCTTTGATCCTAAACACTCTGCTTTATCTCCTCCAGAGGGCTTCTTCAGCACGTTGGGAAGAAATCAAGATGTCATCTTAAATAGACTTAAAAGGAAAGTCTTCATGGATCTCTCTTTCTTGTTCTTTTCTKTCTTTCTCTCCATCGCGCTGCTCCCATTTTCCACCGAGTCTTCTTTGATCTCTTCTTTGCCACAGCAAGCTGTCCCTCTGCGGACAGTAGTYTAGAGAATGTGTTTTGGGTGGGAAAAAAAATAACAGAATCACACTTTCCCAACTTGCCCTCATGGTGTGCTTCAAAAAATAAAGAAAATACAAAAGGCAGGCTTTATTGTGATCTGATGTCTATGATGAAATGGGATTGAAATATGCAGAAACTCCTGATAATTAATGCATGGCTTCGTTTATTTTTTTTCTTTTTGGTCTCTTCTTTTACCTTTCCATCCTCTTATTTTTTTTTTTTTTGCTTTCTTGCTGCTGCAGACTGACTCTCCCCGAGGAGCCTCCCAGTGCACCCCCTCAGACCGTCATGGCGAGTGGACGCACCAATCAGTCCATCATGATCCAGTGGCAGCCCCCACCGGAGAGCCACCAGAACGGCCCGCTTCAGGGCTACATCATCAGGTAAGCAGACTGGAACATTTTTTTTTTCCTGAGTTCGGGTGCCTGTTTGAGTTTGTGCCATTCAGATGTGATAATACCTGCTATGTCAGCTCTGTGCCTTTGTCTCCATTTTGCCTCGTTCCCGCTCACCGCTGCTGCAGAATAATTGGTGCCAATTAAAAGCATCCTCTCCATTCATCTTTTGTCACCTCTTGTTTTGTAACAGTTTTATAACTGTTTTGTGGATTCCCTTTTTTTTTTTTATCCACAGCACTCCTTCTCTGCTGTGAGAGAAAGTGTGTCCTAATATTGTCGTCTCCCTGTATTGTCCCTGTCTCTGTGTATCTCCCTCCCCTCTATTAATTGCTGTCACTTCCTCCCACTGCTGTCAGGTACTGTCTGTCAGGGCTTCCAGTGGACTGTCAGATAAAAAACATCACTAACCCGGACCAGACCAGCCTGATCCTGGAGGACCTCATCATCTGGACAAACTATGAGATTGAAGTAGCCGCCTACAATGGAGCAGGCAGGGGCACCTACAGCCACAAAGTCACTGAGTGGACTCTGCAAGGAGGTGAGAGCAGCAGACAGGATTTATATGGCATACTGCAATGAAAGTGAGAGACTGTCTACTGGTGTCATAAAGGTCCTTATTCCATTTACCCTGTGCTAATGTGGGTTTACTTAGTGRCCAGACCTGCAGTGTAAAATATGAGCCGAAGAGGTGATTTCTAATCCGTCTTTGATAAGAAGTGTAGCGCTTTTTAAAAAAAAGAAATGTGGGCTGTTATTTACAGAGCCCGTCCAATTACACTGGATATTAAAAAATAAATTAAAAAAAACGAATGTATGGCCATGAATTAGTTAATGCATGGCCACAAGATTGTTAATGCAGAGACTGATGATTGTTTACATGGACAAGTTTAAATTAATGTTTTATTTTAAAATATGAATGAGTCACTTGCGGTTAGGCATGYAGTAATTCTAAACATTTAATGCTGCAGCTATAAGACACAGATGGCGACTGAAATTGTCTTTGTCAATAAAGGTTTTTTTTTTTAACTCAACACTTAAAACAGGCCCCTCCCTAACACTGTGCCTTTGCTGCGGAAGGAGTCGGTGTTACGTCACGTTCAGGAACCGTTTCCCGACACACACTTAGGACGTTCAGTGTCATCTCGTAAATACTAGTACAATGAAAAATGGTTTAGATTGAAGCATAGAGAAGGAACTTTTGTAACTGATTTAAGGCACAGTGTGTAGGATTTTGTCAATTCTTTTAGCCGAAATTGAGATAATCACTAATGACAATAATAAAAAAACATGTCGTAATCATTGCAGACAAAGACCTTGTTTTATTATTTTTACCTTATAAAAACCTGTTTATATCTCCATGGTCGCGGGTCGCCATTACAGGCAGCCGCCATCTTGCACCGCCATCTTGTCTACGAAGGCTCATGAAGGACAAACTGCGGTGGCGGCGTCAAAAACGGTTTTAGTTGTAATACTATAAAAGTAATATTTGTTGTCTGTCATTGTAGCTGGGATAATTTTACTTATTAAAGCTCATAATCTTACCACTTGAAACATCACTAGCCCTGAAGCTGCAGGTAGACATCGCGGTTGGAATTATCAAAGGTTTTTGACACCTGAGAGACACCGTAGCAACTGCTTTGTGTTTGGAAAGGGGGTGGGGGGAGGACCAGGGAGGATGATTCAACCACTCAACCACTAGATGTTGCTGAAAACAACAAATCCTACACACTGTGCCTTTAATGTTAGATGCAGTATTGTATTTTATACTTTCTGATCATTTCAGCCTTTAAGGTTAAAACAGACAAAGAGTTGGCGTGCGTCTTACCGTGTGTTCTGTCGTTTAGCCTAAACAAAAATGATTTACGTTSTACATCTGACATAATAACACCTCCTGGGGCATAACCAGGAAGAYAGAAACATTATAAGGTCAATTCATTATTATAGTAAAAAGAAGWTGTCAGTGTGTTGCAGAGTCTCTGCTTTAGAGCAGGGCTCCAGTCACTAGCGGAACAAATCAGAGCAAAATAAACTGTTGTAGATATATATCCATTAATTAATCGTGAAAGGGTCATTTTAATCCAATATTTTGCTAACAGTAACACACTAAAGTTTTAAGCAACATTTTGATGAGACGAGTTGCATTATCAGTATGTGTTGTAAAATGCTCTCATCTACACCTTATCTTTGCACAGAATCTGTAAAACTGGTGAAAATATGCATGGTTGTGTTGTTCTGTGGTGAGTTAGCTGCATCGGGTTAACTCTAAAAGTTAACCGGTTTAGTTTTACTTTTATTGATTATTTCCTGCTAGTATCGTTAGCATTCATTCTGTGGTTTTATGAGACATTTTGTTAACACACACACACACACACACACACACAGACATACTATGTCTCTCTATCCTTGTGGGGACTTTCCATTGACTTCCTTTCATTTTTTGGAAATTTACAGTGGTTTGCAAAAGTATTCATACCCCTTGAACTTTTCCATATTTTGTCACATTACAACCACAAACATAAATATATTTCACTGGAATTT